CACCAAACAGGAAGCCGAGGGACCACCATCTTGGCACTAATTCATTCCAGGCACACCCAAGTATGCAGGCATGCCTGTTGGGAAGCCCTGTTGTATGTACATGTGAATATGTGTTGCAGTCTGAGCCTACATCACTATGCACAGAGGGGCTGTGGTGGTGACTGTGGATAAACAGCAAGCTAAACAAGCAGGTGGTGGCAGAGGGTAGGAGGTGGGAAGGGGCCCAGGCATGGTCACAACTAGGTCACTCGGTCACTAATGGATAAAGACTAGTATTTTTTTTTTTTTTTTTTTTTTTTTGAGATGGAGTCTTACCCTGTCACCAGGCTGGAGTGCAGGGGGTGTGATCTCAGCTCACTGCAACCTCTGCCTCTTGGGTTCATGCAATTCTGCCTTAGCCTCCCTAGTAGCTGGGACTACAGATGCATGCCACCACACCCATCTAGTTTTTTGTATATTAGTAGAGACAGGGTTTCACCATGTTGCCCAGGATGGTCTCAATCTCCTGACCTTCTGATCCACCTGCCTCAGCCTCCCAAAGTGCCAGGATTACAGGCATGAGCCACTGTGCCTGGCCAATACTAGTATGAATAGAAATTGGACCATAGCACCTGCCAGTTTAGATTCTGTGCCACCTGCCAGCCCTGCTCCCAGAAACTGGCCTCATCAATTGTAAACAACATCCATGTCCATTGCTATCTCAAAACTACCTGATGCAGATATGTAGGACAAGATTCTCATCCCCACCTTACTAGTAAGGAAATTGAAGCCCGAGAGGTGAAGTGACTCACCCAAAGTCACTCAGTAAGGAGACAAAAGCGAGACCAGCCTCAACTTTGAGCTGAGTGTGTTCTTTCCATCATACTCACTGTCTGCCATGTTGTGTTATCTTCATAATCTGTGTTAAGGCTGCTCTGTAATTATGGGGAATAAACATGGACCCCCAAACACAGAACCTATGGAGAGCTCCTACTCTAGGCATTTTCTCAGCAGTTTTCCCTTCTGCCTACTTCAAACCCAAATTGTCAACCTGGACCCTGCCTCCCTTTCCCCTTGAGGCTCCTCGAGGTTCTTCAGAGGTTCTTCTTGAATTAGACTGGGTTGTGTCAACAGCTCTGGGTTCACATTCTGATTCTATCAATAACAAGCTCTGGGGCCTTGGGTAAGCTACTTCACTTCTCTGGATTTCAGCTTCCTCACTGAATAACAGTGGTAGTAAAACTTAAAACTGGCATTTGAATAGTTTTAAGATCACTTTGCATATCCATTACCTAATGGAATTATCATTCCCTTTTGCAGATGAAAAAACAGGAGGTCTGAGAAGTAAAATGAGTCCAAGGTTACTCAGTAAATGGCAGAGCCAAAATGTAAACTCTGGCCTAAAAGAATCACCTAATTATTTTCTTCTACAGTGGTAGATTTTCTGTGTTCCTTACAGCCTTAGACTTTTGCAGAGTGGGCACAAAGTGGGAACTGGGCATGGCGGAGTGGGTAGAAACCCTCCTCTTTGACTCACCAAATAGCTTCAAAGACCAGAGCAGCAATTCTACATCATAACATTTCAACACACCCTAACCTGATTTTCATTCAGGGGCAGTGTGGTATAGCAACAGTTAAAAATCTGGGCTCTTGTCCTGGCTCTTCCACTGACTTCTGTATTATCCTTCACAGCTTTTGTGTGTGTGTTTTGTTGAAACAGTCTTGCTCTGTTGCCCAGGCTGGAGTGCAGTGGCACAGTCTCAGCTCACTGCAACCTCCGCCTCCCGGATTCAAGCAAGTCTCCTGCCTCAGCCTCCCGAGTAGCTGGTGTTACAAGGTGCACACCACCATGCCCAGCTAGTTTGTACTTTAAGTAGAGATGGGGTTTCACCATATTGGCCAGGCTGGTCTTGAACTCCTGACCTTGTGATCTACCCTCCTCAGCCTCCCAAAGTGCTGGGATTACAGGCAAGAGTCACCATATCCTGCCCTAGACAACTTATCTTACCTTTCTGCATCTCAGTTTCCCTGTTAGTAAAATACAGCAGAGAAATCAAATGAGTTATTTCAGCTCTGACAACCTAGAATTCTCCTTACAGTGTTGAAGCACTGCCAGTTTTCCGACAGCAACACCAGCATTGAGATTTTTCATTGCTCTTCCTGCTTCAATGGGCATGTGACAGTATCTTAGTTGTTTGAATTGATACTGACTTGGTTTTTAAAAAAATTTCTGCACTCCACAGATCCCATCACAAGACAGAAGGCACATCTGTGATGAGGCCAGTGGAGCAGTTCACTAGCTGATGATGAGGGCAGAAAAGCCTAGACCTGCAGCCAGAAGTGAAGACGGCTCAGTTCTCCGGGATGATTCTCTTATCTCCTTCTGAGCACCAATTCCTGGACTCCAGTCACTGGCTCACCTTTAGTCTGTTGCTATTCACTGCTCCCTCACTCCTCTGATCAGCTTGGGGAGGTGACCAGTGGTTCAAGAGGGACTAGACAGTTACCTGCCCAGTGTGGTATGGTAGGAAGAATGTAGGTGTTGGCATGTGACCAAAATTCACATCCCTCCTCATGGTAGTCATTCAGTATGTGCACTTGGGCAAGTTATTTAACCCAATGGAGCCGAAATTCCCTCATCTATAAAATGGGGATATTACCTACCTCACAAGCTTGTGAAAATTAAACATGATGAATCAAAAGCACTTGGCATGTGAGTGCTATTAAAATCGCCTGATTTTTTTTTTCTCCCCTACTCCCTTATGTATTTGCTCTATCTCTTGCTTTTTACTCACCAGAGCTGAGAGGTAGCAGAGTCTCTTAGGCTGAATGGTTCACTCTCTTGTACTTGCCAACCACTGATGAGGCCAAGGACAAGTGAACTATAAACCTATTTATTGCAGCAATAAAAAATAAAATCTTACTTGTACATCTTTATTATTTCTAAAGCACTTTCTCCAACCTAATTTCAGGTTTTACAAGTGGTACTCAAGAAAAATGAAATTCATCTAATTTTGCCCAGAAACCATCTGCTTATATTTATATGGCCAACTAATTTGAAATCACATATAAAGAAAAATACTTGGGCCGGGCGCGGTGGCTCAAGCCTGTAATCCCAGCACTTTGGGAGGCCGAGGCAGGTGGATCATGAGGTTGAGAGATCGAGACCATCCTGGTCAACATGGTGAAACCCCGTCTCTACTAAAAATACAAAAAAATTAGCTGGGCATGGTGGCACGTGCCTGTAATCCCAGCTACTCAGGAGGCTGAGGCAAGAGAATTGCTTGAACTCAGGAAGCGGAGGTTGCGGTGAGCCGAGATCGCGCCATTGCACTCCAGCCTGGGTAACAAGAGCGAAACTTCATCTCAAAAAAAAAAAGAAAAATACTTTATCTCCAAAACTTAGTATGATTATAAATTCTAAGCTAGGAAACAAAAACTTTTTGGATAAGTACTTTTTTTTTTTTTTTTTTTGAGACAGAGTTTCGCTCTTGTTAGCCAGGCTGCAGTACAATGGCACTATGTCGGCTCACTGCAACCTCCGCCTCCTGGGTTCAAGCAATTCTCCGGCCTCAGCCTCCCAAGTAGCTGGGACTACAGGCACACGCCACCATGCCCAGCTAATTTTTGTATTTTTAGTAGAGACGGGGTTCCACCATGTTGACCAGGATGGTCTCAATCTCTTGACTTCGTGATCCACCCACCTCGGCCTCCCAAAGTGCTGGGATTATAGGCGTGAGCCACTGCATCTGACCCATACTTTGTTTTTTTTGACAGGGTGTCTGTCACCCAGGCTGCTGTAGTGTTGCCCAGGCTGCAGTGAACTGCAACACAATCACAGTTAATTGTATATCCTCAAACTCCACCTCAGCCTGAGTAGCTCAGACTACAGGCATGTGCCACCATGCCCGGCTAATTTTTGTATTTTATGTACAGTGTTTTGCCATGTTGCCCACGTTGGTCTTGATCTCCTGGGCTCAAGCAATCTACTCTGCCTCAGCCTTTCAAAGTGCTGGGATTGCAGGCATGAGCCATTGCATCAGGCTAGGTCAAGCATTTGATAAGCCATAAAAAGTAACCTCTTTCCAGTTAGGTGCAGTCTTTTGCTTCTAACTGCACCAAGCTCCACTGTAGACAGTGTTAGCTCCTGAGTCCGCTTTCTCCAGGATAATCCATCTAGGAGCAAAGACACCTTTGCAGCATAAGATTTCTATTTTCCTTGTCTGGAGTCTCCTCCTTCTTTTATTTATTTATTTATTTATTGAGAGAGTCTCACTTTGTCGCCCAGGCTGGAGTGTAGTGGCACAATCTTAGCTCACTGCAACCTCCACCTCCTGGGTTCAAGCTATTCTTCTGCCTCAGACTCCCAAGTACCTAGGACTACAGGCGCCCACCACCACGCCTGGATAATTTTTATATTTTTAGGAGAGATGGAGTTTCAGCATATGGGCCAGGCTGGTCTCGAATTTCTGACCTCGTGATCCACTTGCCTTGGCCTCCCAAATGCTGGATTACAGATGTGAGCTACTGACCCTGGCCAAGTCTCCTTCTAAACCACCTTCTATATCACTACAGACAGAGCTCAGAAATACAAACCAGACTGTATGATTTAAAACCCTTTAATGATTTAATATCTACAGGATGAACTCAAAATTATTTTGCACGAGTCACAGAATTCTCTGTAGTCTGTCTCACTCTAAATTCACTTTGCACTAGGACAGAAGCAGGGAAGCCTTTTCTGAAAGGTTCATGTATTAATAAGGCTTTGCCAGCCATAGGTCTCTATCACTCCTCAATTCTGCTCTTATAGCATGGCAGTCACCATAAACAACATATAAACAAATGAGCATGGCTGTTTCAGTAAGACTTTATTGGCAGTGGGCCAGATTTGGCCCATAGGCTGTAGTCTGCTAACTCTAAACTACAACTCAACCTCATTTTAAAATCTTTCAGATGGGTGAATGGAAACTGACCATTCTCTGATGAACTCTATTTCTTACAACAATAAAGAGTCAGAGTACTCACGGTAACGATTTTAATTATAAGGTGTCAACATACAGATTAGCATAAACTTCAACTGTCATTGGAAACATGTTTCATCAAATTCAGAAACAGCAGGTATCAGTGAAACTGGAGCAAGCATTTTGGGAATCTTGCATCATACCACTACACCAGCGGCGCTGGAGCAAGCATTTTGAAAACTTCAACGTATTGGATGGAATTTTTCAAAAAGTTCACCATATGTTTTCTTCTCTATAAAAGGAAAGATCATAAAAGATATATTTTAATTTTTTTATTTTTATTTTTATTTAATATATATTTTTTTGAGACAGGGTTTCACCATGTTGGTCAGACTGGTCTCGAACTCCTGACCTCAGGTAATCCACCCGCCTCGGCCTCCCAAAGTGCTGGGATTACAGGCGTGAGCCACCATGCCCAGCCCAAAGGATATATTTTTTAATTGTTTTAAAAATTCTATTACCTAAAGGAAAATTAACACTCAGTAATCGTACTGATTGAAATCCTGCTATGGTCTGAATGTTCATGTCCTCCCAAAGTTTGTAAGTTGAAATGTAACCCCTAAGGCAATGATATTAAGAGGCTGGGACTTTGGGATGCGATTAGGTCACGAAGGCTATGTTCTCATGAATGGGATCAGTGTCGTTATAAAAGAGACTTAGGGGAGCTTGTTTGCCTTTTCTACGACGTGAGCACACAATCAAGAGAGCATCATCTATGAAACACAAAGTGGGCCCTAGGCAGACACTGACTGTGCTGGCACCCTGATCTTGGACTTCCCAGCCTCCAGAATTGTAAGCAATACATTTCTATAATTTATATATTACCCAGTCTATTCTATAATTATACAGGTAGCAGGAAAAAAAATTAATTTTTAAAAATTACCCAGTCTATGCATTTGGTTATAGTAGGCCAAATGGACTGAGACAAACCCTTAAGAATTTCCTTATTTTCTTGTCCTCAACTATGGCTTGGCAATCACTGAAAGATTTTCTTTCATCGAATGAAGAATAACTTTGGAGGAATCTCTGATGACAACTAGACGGCTGCTAAGAAGGACCAGGTGCTGCCAGGAGTATCTTGAATGAAGAGGTAAAGGAAGCAATAAACACAGAGGGGCATGCGTCAGCTAGGAGAGGCCAGCAGCCAATGTGGTTAAGCTCTCCGGGTTCATGGGGTGGCAACAGGGGCAAGAGGGCAACTGTCTGTGCATGAGGCTCTTGGCACAACTGCCAGTAGTCTGCAGCTCAGAAACAGAATGAAGCCTGCAGTTATACACATTCCTGCAGACACAGGGAACTTGTGGAACTATCTCTAGGCAAAGGCCAGAGGTCTGGGACTGAAGACTGCTGAGCCACTGGGTCTCATTCCTACTAATCAATATATCCAAGACGACTTCCAGTTCTAACATTTAACGGTTCTGAGAATTATGCATTCCTGATACATCCACTATTCACAGCTTTGTGTTAGTCTTTTTTTTTTTTTTTTTTTTTTTTTTTTTTTTAGGAGTTTCACTCTTGTTACCCAGGCTGGAGTGCAATGGCGAGATCTTGGCTCACCGCAACCTCCGCCTCCCGGGTTCAGGCAATTCTCCTGCCTCAGCCTCCTGAGTAGCTGGGATTACAGGCACGCGCCACCATGCCCAGCTAATTTTTGTATTTTTAGTAGAGACAGGGTTTCACCATGTTGACCAGGATGATCTCGATCTCTTGACCTCGTGATCCACCTGCCTCGGCCTCCCAAAGTGCTGGGATTACAGGCTTGAGCCACCGCACCTGGCCTGTGTTAGTCTTTAAGCTCTTCTTTGGCAAAAAAAAAAAAAAAAAAAAAAAAAAAAAGCCATATCTTTCTGATCTAACATAAATATCACATATGTGACTGAAGGCTGTGGAAATATTAAAGAGTAATGAAAATTTTAGAGCTAAATAAGACCTTAGAGATCATTCAGTCTAACGAAATTTAAATGTTTTACATCACACATTTACATCAATAAAAAAATCTTTTTTTTTTTTTTTAAGACAGGGTCTCTTGCTTGGTCACCTAGGCTGGAATGCAGTGGGGTGATTGTGGCTCATGGCAGCCTTGACCTCCCAGGCTCAAGTAATCTTCCTGCCTCAGCCTCCAAAGTAGCTGGGACCTATAGGCATGTGCCACCACACCCAACTAGTTTTTAAAATTTTTTTGTAGAGATGAGGTCTCACTATGTTGGCGAGGCTAGGAAAAATCTATTTATATGTTTACAAGGTCAAATTTTTTCTATACTCATTCATTTACACATTTAATATGGATGTGTGTGCCAAACCCCTGGGGAGATAAAAAAAAAAAAATCCTGTCCTAATAAGTTAAACTGCCAACTTACAAAGACTCATATATGTATACATCTGTATCATATGTGTGTAAAACACAGGTGAGAAAAGTCATATTACAATTATTAATAGATTCATAGCAGGATAGAGATACAGCATGCTGAGGGAATGCCTGACTCTAGCTGAGTGAAGGTTTCACTGAGATAATAAAAGCAGAAATTTGCTAGGTAGATGGGGTGGCAACAGGGGCAAGAGGAAGAAGAACATAGCAGGAAGAAGGTATAACATATACCAAGCAATACAGGACAGGCTCAGGACAAAGCATTTCACCAGGCAAAGGATGAGGGATGAGTTAGTGTTCCATAGGGTTCAGATCCACTATTATGCATAAGTGCCTGCTATGTGTAGGCTCTGTGGGAGAGGCTGGGGAAATAAAGACAAAGCTATAGCCCATGAAGAACACAGACATGTGTATATCATATGGCAGACAGGGATGTGCGTAAAGTGTTTCTACCAGAGGACAGGCAATTTATGAAGCCGGACGAAATAAGCCATCCTAAGGAGCCTGAATTTTATCCACTAGGCAATCAATGACTATTTTAAACAGATGTAATCAGATTTGCTGTCACTGGAAATAAGACCAAAGCAAGAAGTGAGTTAAGAGGCAAGTGCAACAATCCAAGCAAGAGATTATCAAGGCCTGAACCAGGGTAGTGGTATTGGGAGAGGAGAGTTCAAAGTTGAGAAATATTTAGGAAGCAGAACGGATAAGACCTGATGACTAATGGGAAGTGAAAGAAGAAGACTTGGTGATTCTCAGGCTTCTGGCTTGAGCATCCAGGTAGACAGCAGTGCCACTCCCTGAAGCAGGACAGAGGAGCAGGAGGTTTGGCAAGGCAGACGGGACATGAACTTTGTTGCTGTCCAAAGGACACAGAGGAAGTCAGGCAGAAAGTGGATATATTAATTCAAGGCAATTTTGTTCTACAGACTAAGATGTGGGAGTCAACGGGAATTTAGAAGTTACCTAAAGCCATAGACATGGATAAGAGTAACCAGGGAAAATAATAATACAGTAAACACAGATTCTCTACAATTAACTTGAAATACCTTTTTCTTTTCTTTTTCTTTTTTTCTTTCTTTCTTTTTCATTTTTTTTAATAAAGACAGGGTTTTACCATGTTGGTCAGGCTGGTCTTGAACTCCCAACCCCAGGTGATCTGCCCGCCTTGGCCTCCAAAGTGCTTGGATTACATTGGATTACAGGCATGAGCCACCACGCCTGGCCTCTTTTTTTTTTTTTTTCCCTCATAACATGGAGTATAAGAGAAATACCTTTTTCTTCAGGAAAATCCTCTGGATGTAATCTTTCATACTCAAACATGTCACGATCCCTCACAGCACATATGTATTCATGACGTTTTACAAGAAAATATCCAGCAAAATAAAAGGCTGTAGTATATAGAAGCTGGCGATGCAAACCTGAAATTCAAATGACAAATTCCAAAGAAAGCAAAAATTAGTCAATGTGTATTAAGAGTTACATTTTTGGCTGGACGCAGTGGCTCACACCTGTAACCCCAGCACTTTGGGAGGCTGAGGCAGATGGATCATCTGAGGTCAGGAGTTTGAGACCAGCCTGGCCAACATGGTGAAACCCCGTCTCTACTAAAAATACAAAAATTAGCCTGGGGTGGTGGTAGGCACCTGTAGTCCCAGCTACTCGGGAGGCTGAGGCAGGAGAGTCACTAGAACCCGGGAGGCAGAAGTTGCAGTGAGCCAAGATCGGCCACTGCACTCCAGCCAAGGCAACAGAGCAAGACTCCTCAAAAAAAAAAAAGTTACATTTTTACATTTCAGATACATAATCTGTTGTTATGGAATTACTTTTTTTTTTTTTTTTGAGACAGAGTCTTGCTCTGTTACCCAGGCTGTAGTGCAGGGGTGTGATCTTGGCTCACTGCAACCTCTGCCTCCCGGGTTCAAGGGATTCTCCTGCCTTAGCCTCCTGAGTAGCTGGGATTATAGGCACCCACCATCACACCCGGCTGCTTTTTCTATTTTTAGTAGAGACAGGGTTTCACCATGTTTACCACGGTGGTCTCGCCTTCCTCAGCCTCCCCAAGTGCTGGGATTACAGGTGTGAGCCACTGTGCCTGGCCTGTTATGGCATTTCTTTAAGAAAAAAAAGGGGGGGGGCGGTATTACGGTGATTGTTATTAGAATAGTCAGTCTCTGATAAGAGGCCTGTGACATATTACTAAGTACAATACATTTATTTAGAGCCTCCTATTCAAACTGTGGTCCTCTGACCACCAGCAGCAATGTTTGAGAGCTTGATAATAACATCAAGCTCCTCTCCAGATCTCATGAATCAGAATACGCATTTTTTTTTTTTTTTTTTTTTTTTTAATTTTCGAGGCAGGGTCTCACTCTTGTTGCCCAGGCTGGAGTGCAATGGTGCAATCTCGGCTCACTGCAACCTCTGCCTTCCAGGCTCCTGCCTCAGCCTCCCTCAGCCTGGGACCACAGGCATGCACCACCAGGCCCAGCTAAACTTTTTTTTTTTTTTTGTAGAGACGGGCTTTTTCCCTGTTGCCCAGGATGGTATCGAACTCTTGAGCTCAAGCGATCCACCCGCCACGGCCTCCCAAAGTGCTGGGATTACAGGTGTGAGCCACTGCGCCTGGCCCAGAATCCAAATTTTAACAAGACTCCTATGCTATTCGTATGCACATTAACTTTGAGAAGCACTGGTTTCCAATATCCACTTAGAGGTCTAAAAAAAAAAAAGCTCTGCTACTTAATAGCCATATGACCTTGGGTAAGCTGCTGTCAACCTGTTAGGCTCGGTTTCCTCGTCATGAATAATACATCCCTATAAAGTGTTTTAAGGCCAAAATACTATCAATAATGCCCATAGTGTGAGTGGTGCATGGCATGGAGTCATGGCTCATTTGTGCACACAGCACAACACGAAACTGAAGAGAGTAGTCCCGGGTCCTTCACAGACTCAGTTCCTGCTCCACTGTGTGACACGGTCATCGCCCCGTAAACTGCATACCTCGACAGACCTCAGCTTTCCGTTGAAACTGCTCTCTCTAACCCCAATGTGACAGGCAAGCAGTCCAAACCCACGCCATTTTGGGCCCTGCATCATTTTAAGAAAAACTAAGACTTGTAGTAAGTAACTAAGGTCTGTAATTTCTACCTTACTCAGACAATGTGTAAACTAACGCTTATCTTGACTTCTGTGAACCACTTAGGTTAACAATCGGAATGTCCAAAGGCCCTCACCCTCACCCCCGCCCAGGAGGTGGTTTACGGGCATGAAAGGACTTGACACCCTCCTTTCGGGGGCCACGGGTTGGGGAGACGCGAGTCCTCCGTGGCTGCCGGCAATAAAGACCCTATGATTTAGCCTAGTCTTCGTCTCAGTGGTGATTTCGCGCTCCCTCCGCGACAACTGCACCTGTTTCTTCACGTGCCAAGTAACACGCCGGCTCTGCTCGATTCTGAAGAGCTAACCAGGCGCGGACAGCCCGAGAAGGCGAGCTGGGGCCAAGTAAAGCAAAAAGGCACGGAAAAGCAGAGCACGTCGGGCGGGAGTACGGCAGGGCCGGTCCGCAGCCCGGCGACCCCCCTCCCGGCCGATTCCGCCCGCGCAGCCCTCACCCGCCTTCAGGATCGGCCTCCGGTAGATGTAGTTGTCAAGCAGGCCGGAGCAGTAGCCCAAGAGGCCTAAGTAGAGGATCCGCGGGTCGGTCAGGCTGGGCGGGGGCAGGCTCCGGGACTCATCCGGCAGAAACCTTAAAGGGTGTGCGTTCTGCCTATTGTAAAACATGGTGTCGCAGTTCTCACTTGAGGCCGAGCCTTAGACCACGAACTACAAGGAGAACCACCACGACCACGGCGCGGGCCGACGCGGTCAGCTTCGCGCTCAGTGCGCCGACCTCAAGGTCCCGGCGCAGCGCGGTGCAGCGCCCAAACGCTTCCCGGCGCGTGCTGCCGCCGGAACCCGGCATGCAAAGTTCCGCGCTACTGACGTCCCCTTATCGCCCGCCCGCGCGAATTCGCCCGTGGGAGTGGGCTTCGCGGGCCTGGTGACGCGGGGTCGAGGGTAAGTACGCCACACTGGCCAAAGCAGACTCTGAGACACTGATGTTCTTTCCGCAGAACTTCTCCGCCCGGAATTGCCAATCCCTCCCCTGCCCTTTGTGCATAGAATTTTATCGTTTCATCCCACATCCAGAAATGGGCATGATGCTTAGTTTTGAGAAACGTCATCCACTGAAGTTCCGTAAAAGCTAGTTTTCGTTTTCTGAGGATTCAGTCGTTCATTCGCACAGACACACCCTCCAAAGCCTAAAATGAAGGTCTGCTGAGCAACGAATTTAGAGAAGCCCAGGACTAGATCGTTTTAGTCTCTTCTTGAAATTCAGATTCGGAGGCAGCACCCTAAAATGTTTCACCTCTTAGTCTTCAGGTCCTTGCACGTGGTTGAGGGAGGAGGTGTTCCCTAAAGGTTTTAGCTGCTCACCCATGTAATCCCAGCACTTTGGGACGCCGAGGCGGACGCATCACCTGAAGGTCAGGAGTTCTAAGACCCGCTTAGCCAACATGGTGAATTGAAGTCCCGTCTCTACGATAATGGCGCGGGCCTGTAGTCCCAGGTACTCCGGAGGCTGAGGCAGAAGAGTCCACTACTCGGTGCAAGGGTCTTTGAACTGGCTGCACCATAGACCATAAGACCTATGTAGAGCCGTGGCGACCCCTCTGACCCGCAAGTACACCTCTGGAGGGCCTCCTGGAGCCAGAAAGTCTAAGAAGAAAAAATGGCTAGTTCTGCCATTGTTCTTGCCTCAACCATTCCCGCCTTAACTGATAAGCCAATCTCGTGACGCAGGACCTTGGACCTTGTGACACTCCCTCCTCCTCCCTGCAAGAATAGGAAAAGAATAGGTAGCTCCTGCAGTGCCTGATTAACTGACCTTGCGACATTCCACCACTGTTCTGGCTTAACTGGTAAGCCAACCTTGTGACACTGGACCTTGGACCTTGTGATACCCCCACCCCTGGCAACATCCCCCACACCTTGCCTTGCAAAAACCTCCGTGAACTGTAACTTCTTTAACTTTCCACTGCATACCCCAAATCTATAAAACCAACTCCTATCCCACCGCCCTCCTGACTCTCTTTTCTGACTCAGCCCACCCGCATCTGGATGAATATTCAGCCGTGTTGCTCACACAAAGCCTGTTTTGTGGGGCGTCTCTACATTCAGGGTGTGCTTAACTCTCAGGAAGATGACACGGGAAGAATTGCTTGAACCTGGGAGGCGGAGGTTGCAGTGAGCCGAGATCACACCATTGCACTCCAGCCTGGACAAGAGCAAAATTTCATCTCAAAAGGAAAAAAAAAAAAAAGGTTTGAGTAATGAAAGAAGGAATTTATAATTCTGTTAAACAATTTTTCAGACTCTGCTCACCCATCTCTAATATTGCAGATTGTACAGCCCTTCCTGATGTTGAGCTAAAATGTCTTCCTGTAGGCTGGGTGCAGTGGCTCACGCCTGTAATCCCAGCACTTTGGGAGGCTGAGGCGGGCAGATCACAAGGTCAAGAGATCGAGACCGTCCTCGCCAACATGGTGAAACCCGGTCTTTACTAAAATACAAAAATTAGCTGGGCATGGCGGCACATGCCTGTAGTCCCAGCTACTCGGGAGGCTGAGGTAGGAGAATTGCTTGAACCTGGGAGGCGAAGGTTGCAGTGAGCCGAGATTGCGCCACTGCACTCCAGCCTGGTACCTGGCGACAGAACACGACTGTCTCAAAAAATAAAATAAAATAAAATAAAATAAAATGTAATGTCTTCCTGTTATGTCTATTTATTAATAGGATCAACATTTTATCCAGATGAATGCTGATTAAACCAGAGGTTTATGCAAAAGTATATACATTAAAGATAGTGATTTCTTAAGTGTTAGAATTAAATACCAGGTAAGAGTGATTACATAAAGGATGGACCTTTTAACACTACCTGACAGTATTTCTAGTTAGAATTTTGCTTTTTTGCCGGCTGCGGTGGCTCATGCCTGTAATCCCAGCATTTTGAGAGGCTGAGGCGGGTGGATCATTTGAGGTCAAAAGTTTGAGACCAGCCTGACCAATATGGTGAAACCCCGTCTTAAAAAAAAAAAAAAAAAAAAAAAAAAAGAATTTTGCTTTTTTTTTTTTTTAGATGGAATCTCGCTCTGCCACCAGGCTGGAGTGCAGTGGCGCAATCTCAGTGGCGCAATCTCAGTTCACTGCAGTCTTCGCCTCCTGGTTTCAAGAGATTCCCCTGCCTCAGCCTCCCAAGTAGCTGGGTCTACAGGCATGCACCACCATACCCGGCTAATTTTTTTTGTATTTCACTAGAGATGGGGTGTCACCATGTTCGCCATGATTTTCTCAATCTCCTGACTTCATGATCCACCCTCCTCGGCCTTCTGAAGTGTCAAAATCCTAGGTTGGAGTGCTAGGATTACAGGTATGAGCCACCAAGCCCAACCTGCTTTTTTTTTTTTTTTTTCTGAGTTGGGGTTTCGCTTTGTCACCCGGACTGGAGTGCAGTGGTGCGATCATGCTGGCTAATTTTTAAATTTTTTTGTAGAGACAAGATCTCTCTATGTTGCCCAGGCTGGGCTCAAGGGATCCTCCTGCCTTGGCCTCCTAAAGTGCTGGGATTACAGGTATGAGCCACCTCGCCCAGCCCAAATTAGGATTTTTCTGGAGTGTATATTAGACCTTTCTTTTTTTTTTTTTTTGAGACAGAGTTTTGCTCTTGTTACCCAGGCTGGAGTGCAATGGCGCGATCTTGGCTCACCGCAACCTCCGCCTCCTGGGTTCAGGCAATTCTCCTGCCTCAGCCTCCTGAGTAGCTGGGATTACAGGCATGTTCCACCATGCCCAGCTAATTTTTTTGTATTTTTAGTAGAGACGGGGTTTCACCATTTTGACCAGGATGGTCTCGATCTCTCGACCTCGTGATCCACCCGCCTCGGCCTCCCAAAGTGCTGGGATTACAGGCTTGAGCCACCGCGCCCGGCTAGACCTTTCTTGAAAGGCAGCAAATGTTTCAAAAGTTTACCCTCTTTATCTCAGTAATTACACATCTGGAAATCTGTTCTCTGAAAAGAGTATGGCATGAAACACCTTTTTTTGCACAAACTTTTTTGTTTTCATTTTTTTAACCAGTGTTTCTTTTCTTTTCTTTTCTTTCTTTCTTTTTTTTTTTTTTTTGAGACAGAGTTTCGCTCTTGTTACCCAGGTTGGAGTGCAATGGCGCGATCTCGGCTCACCGCAACCTCCGCCTCCTGGGTTCAGGCAATTCTCCTGCCTCAGCCTCCTGCATAGCTGGGATTACAGGCACACGCCACCATGCCCAGCTAATTTTTTGTATTTTTAGTAGAGACGGGGTTTCACCATGTTGACCAGGATGGTCTTGATCTCTCGACCTCGTGATCCACCCACCTCGGCCTCCCAAAGTGCTGGGATTACAGGCTTGAGCCACTGCGCCCGGCAACCAGTGTTTCTTTTAAAATTTTATCAAAAGAATGAAAACAACAAAAAATGTTCCTCAGAAGCAGTATGTAAATTCTGAATACCAGATAAACTATTAGGCAAACATTTAAAATGAAGTTTGCAGATTTTATTAAAACATGATGAAATACTTGTGTATTCAATAAATATTCAAAGGCTCAGCTTCTATTAAAAAAAAAAATCTAGCTCCAAGTAAGGGGCTCTATAACGGAAACTTAGCCTACTACTCCCCAACACATAATCCCCCACAATCTTCTGGGCCTGTTTTTTGTCTGTTTTTGAGACAGAGGCTCATTTTTTAACCCAGGTTTGAGTGCAGTGGCACGATCTCGGCTCCCTGCAACTTCCGCCTCTCTGGTCCAAGAAATTCTCCTGCCTCAGCCTCCCGAGTTGCTGGGATTACAGGTGTGCACCACCATGCCCTGCTAATTTTTGTATTTTTAGTAGAGATGGGGTTTTGCCCTGTTGGCCAGGCTAGTCTTGAACTCCTGACCTCAAGCGATCTGCCCACCTTAACCTCTCAAAGTGCTGGGATTACAGGCATGAGCTACTACATCCAACCCTGGTTTTTTTGTTTTGTTTTGTTCTGAAGGAAATTTAAGATACAAAAAGTCACAAAGAACAATACAACAAATACTCATATTCAACTACACAGATTTAACAACTCTGAATTTTGTCATATTTTTCAGCCCCCTCCTATTTTAAAGGAAAAGACTCTACAGATACAATAAAGTTCCCTTTCCCTTTCCTGGAGACAACCACTATCGTGAGTTTATTGTGGATATTTCTAGTCCATTTTTTATAATTTTACATATATTTAGTATTGTGTTACATGCGCCTTTTAAAAATCTAAATACTGTGATTCATTGTTTCTGTTTTTCTCTTGGTTTTTCATTCCATGTAAAATTTTTGAGATCTATCCATGATGATACATAAAGATTGGCAGTCGCCTGTAATCCCTGCTACTCAGGAGGCTGAGGCAGGAGAATAGCTTGAACCTGGGAGGCTGAGGTTGCATTGCACTTTAGCCTGGGTGACAAAAGCAAGACTATCTAAAAAAAAAAAACAACTTCATTTATACTGATTAATGGCTATTCATACTGTTAATGGCCATCATCAAAAAAGATTAATTCTTTTTGACTACTATATAATATTCCATCACATAAATATGTCACATTTTATTCATCCATTATTCTGTTGATGAGTATTTAGGTTGTTTTCGATTTTTTTTTTTTTTTTTTTTTTTTGAGACGGAGTTTCGCTCTTGTTACCCAGGCTGGAGTGCAATGGCGCGATCTCGGCTCACCGCAACCTCCGCCTCCTGGGTTCAGGCAATTCTCCTGCCTCAGCCTCCAGAGTAGCTGGGATTACAGGCACGTGCCACCATGCCCAGCTGATTTTTTGTATTTTTAGTA